CCGTGGCTTTAAACAGCATCTATACACGGACAACACCCAATTATTTATTTTTTATTTTATGTGTATGAGTGTTTGCCTGCATTTATGTATATATGTATGTGTCACATGTGCGTGTATGTACATGTGTACCACATGGCCTGGTACCTGTGGAGGCTTCTGGAACTAGAGTTACCGACAGTTATGAACTGCCGTATAGCTGGGTCCTCTGAAAGAGCAAGTGCTCTTAACTGCTGAGCCATCTCTTCAGTCCTAGACAGCTCCCAGACTTATATCTGTAGCAAGTCTTCCACAACTGGGCTGAAAGATTACATCTCTGTGATGCTTAATCTTGGCTGTCCACTTGATTAGACTGAGAGATGTTTGGATGATTAGTAAGACATCCCTGTGTGTGTCTGTAAGGTTATCTCCAGAGATAACTAGGCCATGGGGGTTACATCCATTGATACACTTTAAAATTGGACAGTAATAGATCTTCCAATGGGAAGGTAATGGCAGTTAAAGGAAAAAGGTCACTGGGGGCATGTTCTTGGGGCTGTGTCTTGCCCCTTCCTCATACTGCTTCCTGGCTGTCACAAGATGAGCAGCTCTGCCCCTCCACTTCCTTCCATGATGTTCTGCCTCAGTTCAGGCCCAGAAACAATGGAGGCTAATGATCAGCCTGTATGTAATCTCCTTTAAAATTGTTTCTCTTAGGCTTTTGCTCACAGTGATAAAATATCTGACTAATACAACTGACAATGACATCTCCACTTAGCCAATGAACATTTCAGAAATATGTCCAATTCACAGTCCCTGGCTTTCTTGCAAAGCTGTTCCTCTCCACCTGAGACAATGGCACTCTGGGCTAGCAAGATAGCTCAGTGGGAAAAGGCACTTGCTGTTCAAGCCTGATGACCTGAGTTCGATACCCAGGAACTGACATGGTGGAAGGAAGAACTGACTCTACAAAATTTTCCTCTGACCTCCACATGCACACAATGAATGACTCCCTCCCCAGAGAGAGGGGGGTGGAGAGAAAAGTTTTTATAAAGAAAAAGGCCTTATTCACTCAATTATTCCAGACACAATTCAAGGAGCTATTGTTGATCCTTCCCCTCACTTCTCACATCTCATCCAGAAGCTAGCCTTGGTAGCCACCCCCATCAAGCCGCATCTCAAATGCACTCACTTTCCTTTTTCCAATCTTCCCCTTCCTCTTACCTCACATTGGACTGCCAACATGGTCTCCTGACTGGCCTCCCTGCTTCCATTCATTCCTGCTTTCCCACAAGCCATTCTCCACATGGCAGCTATTATTTTAAAGCACGAGTCTGGACTCCAGAGACGGCTCGGCAGTTCCCTATCACTCTCAGAAGACAGTTTGGACTCCAGGCACTCACAACTAGCAGCTCACGACTGCCTGTGACTTCAGGGTATCCAACACCTTTGACCTCCACGAGCACTTGCACACGTGGGCATACCCACACACACCTAATTAAAAATAAATAAAGATAAAAGAAAACATGAATCAGCGGACCTAGAAACATAGTTTGGTGGTAGAGTGTGTTGTGGGAATTCGCTCCCAAGTGTGCTTGTGTAGAATATGCGAGGCCCTCGTACCAATCCCCAGCAGTGCAATTTTTGAAAGTTTATTATTTCTTTTATTTTTGTGATTACTGTATACCATGGGCTAGGTATACTGGACAAGGACAAACAGTAGGCACACTAAAGTGGACAAGGGAAAGCCCATGAGGCTTCAACCCTACACAACGAACTAGAGGCAACTCAGGAAAGCTGAGAGCAGGAGATACAGTCTTCTCCAGGGAAGAGCATACCAGTTGGTTATCCAGTACCAAACGGTCAGTTCTGAACACATGCAAATGTTTTAAACAAAACGAAAGCCATAAATCGTATGGTGTTACAGCTTGGCTTTAAAGTTTCTACTTTAAAGTTGCCTACTTCTTCTGCGATCCCAAACCCTTCTTCTCTTCTGCGAGGCCTCCTGTGGCCTGGCTTCCGTTCGTGCCTTAACCTCACTGCTGCTCTCTGCACTCAGTGACCCTTGCTGTCCTTTTGGTTTTCCCCAAAGCTTGCCCCTCTGTACTTTCCAATGCCATAAGCTGGGACACTTCCCCTTGGCCTTTATGTGTTGGCCCATTCACTTTTTGCAGATACCACATGGCTTAGAAATGGGCCCTCTCCAGAGCCCACCTCTGATGACCCATAATTCTCTATGACATCACACTCTTTTTTAAAACATTGCTGTGCATATGTGAGTGTAGGTAAGTGCACATGGAGATCAGGGGACAACTTTGGTTATGGGTCCTTGTCTTCCACCGTAACATGGGGTCTCTTGTTCACTATGCCAGGCTAGCTAGGCTCAACCTTCTGGGGATTCTCTTGTCTCTGCCTCCCATCTCACCACAGACACACTGGGGTCACCCACATACACTACTACATCAGGGCTTTTACATGCATTCTGGGGGTATGAGCTCAGATCTCCACACTTGTGTGGGAAGCACTTGACTCACTACGCCATTTTCCCAGCTTCATATCACATTATTTTTACTAAAATTTTAATTTAAAAAATTATTATTCATGTGTATATATGCACAACCATGTGGAGGGCAGAGGACAACTTTGAGCTCTCTCCTCTCACCATGGGTTCTGGGAATTGAACTCAGATTGGTGGGCTTGCAGAGCCATCTTACTGGCCTTGAACTCACATTTCATTCAGTAGTTCCTGTCACTTTGCTTTCACAATGTGAACTGCTTTGTTCGCCACTAACGTGCCTGCTTCAAGAGCACACATAGACTGCTGAGTAGCTAAACGGTAGTGGATTAGCCTTGAACAGGAAGACAGACATCTTTACCCCGAGACTGCAAAGCCAAAAGGACAGAAGGACCGAAATACATTCCTCTGCTCTTGATGCTTTGGAGAGAGCAGTCATCTGCTGGGGGGAGGGGGGCCTTGCAGGGAAAGAAAGATTGGAAGAAAGTGGTCCTAAGCTGATATGATGGGAACAGCAGAGTTGCTGGTCCAAAACACCGAGTTGAGCAATTGACTATCTGTGGTGAAATCCCATCTGACACAAGAACCATACATTCATGGCATCAAACTCCACTCATTTACAAGATGTGGTCACTCAACTGTCTGAGTATGAGATCACAGCAAGCAGACTGGCTTGACTCTAAATTGAGTTTGCAGGATGGATGCTGTCATATAATCCAGACTCAGAAAGACAGAAAGACAAATGCCACATATTCTCTCTCATATGTGGATCCTACATACACACATACATATGTATATAATATGTGTGTGGGGGTGGTCATCACAAAAGTAGAAAGGGGACCATGAGAGGGGAAAGGGGTTTTGAGGAAGCGCATAGAGTAACAGAGCACATGAGACATAAAAGCAAGAAAGTGATGGCTGGGAGCTGGATGGTGCAGGAGGAGCAGGGGAATGGAAAAGAAAAGGGACAAGGAAGATCAACAAAAACAATTATGTAGAAATGTCATAATGAAATATTACATCTCACTTGATGTTTTAAAAACAGACAAAAAGCCAGATATGGTGGTGCAAGCCTATAATCTTAACATTTGGGAGGTGGAGACTGGCAGAACAGGGGTTTCCAGGTCGTCCCTGGCTATACAGTAAGCTTGAGGTCAGCCAGGGTTCCATGAGACCCTGTCTCAAAACAAAACAGAAACAGAATTTTGGAATTTGCAGAGGACCTGGGTTCCATTTCCAACACCCATATGATAGCTCACAACTATCTGTAATTCCAGTTCCTGGGGATCCTACACCCTCTTCTGGCCTCCTTGGGCACCAGGCATGCATATGGTACATGTACATACATGCAAGAAAAATACTCACACACATTAAAAATAGAAAATTGATTTATAAAAGAGAAAAAAAGTAACTTTTATAACTACAAGAAAGCAGTGAAGTACCCAAGTATAAATTTTAACCAATTATCTACGGGATCTGTACATGAAAAAGTACAAAACACCAATGAAAAGGACCAAACACCTATACAGATGTCAATTCTCCTTAAACGATCTTCAGATTTTACAAAATCCCCCAAACCCTAGAAAGAATAGTGAACACATCAACAAGCCAATTTTAAAATACTGCAAAGACAAAAATTCATAATAACCAAAAATAATTCCAAAACAGAACAAAGTTAGAAGAATCATGACCCAATCTTAAAACTGACCATAAAGCTGCAATACTTGGAAAGCTGCAGCAGGAGGATCACGTTTACAGCCAACCTGGGAACACACAGCAAAACTAAAATAAATAAATAAATAAAAATTAAAAAATGTAAAGGAACTTGAGGGTGGTACTCAGTGATAGAGTGTAACATAGGTGAAGTCTAGGGTTTGAACCTCAGAATTAAAAAGGAAAAAAAGTACTATGTGGGTAAAATGACAATGGATGAAATATAGTGGTTTTGTTGTTGTTGTTGAGACAGAGTCTCAATTATGCAGTCCTGGTTGGCCTGGAACTTGCTATGTAGATCAGGCTGGCCTTGAACTCACAGAGATACAAAGTGCCTTTGCTTCCCGAGTGCTGAAATTCAAGGTATGTGCCACCATACTCAGCCATTAACTGACTTTTGACAAAACTATAAAATATATGAAAGAAAAATAGTCTTGTCAATAATTAGGTGTCAAAACAACTAGATATGTAAAAATAAACTGACACACAACTTGTGCATTATACAAAACTACTTCAAAATAGACTACAGATGTAAATGTCAAAAATAAAGAAATACAGAAGATATTTATGTATTTATGATTGAGTCAAGAAAGGCACTATAGGTAGGGCTAGAGAGATGGCTCAGGGGTTAAGAGCACTGACTGCTCTTCCAGAGGTCCTGAGTTCAATTCCCAGCAACTGCATGATGGCTCACAACCATCTGTAATGAGATCTTGTGCCCTCTTCTGGCATGCAGACATGCAGACAGAATACTGTATACATAATAAATAAATCTTTTTTAAAAAAAAAAAAAGAATAAAGAAAGAAAGAAAGGCACTACATGTGCCCAAGTCTGTAGTCCCAGCACTTGGGAGGTGCACGAAGGAGAGTTCAAGGTCACTGCTGGGGGATATAGCTCAGTGGTAGAGCACTGGACCAGCAGCCATTAGATACTAGATTCAATTCTTGCTAGTAGCAAAAGAATAAAAACCCCACAGCCATCAGGTGTTCCTGTTTCTAAAGATAGGAGCTGGAGAGACTGCTTAGTGTTAAGAGCACTTTTTACTCTTGTAGAGGATCCGGTTTCCATTCCCAGCACCCACCCATGACTCCAGTTTCAAGGGATCTCATGCCCTCTTCTGACCTCTGTAGGCATCAGGCACACATGTGATATAATAGATATATGCAGGCAAAACACTCATACACAGAAAATAAAATTTAAAAGATCTTAAAAAAAAAATCACAAAACTAAAACCCACTAAGCATGTAATCCCAACACTCAGAAGGTAGAGACAAAAGAAGGATCTGGAATTCAAGGTCAGCCTCGGGTACACAGAGAACTTGATGTCAGCTTGGGTTATATGAGGTCCTGTTTCAAAAATCTAAAACTAAAAATAAGAGCCAGCCGCTACATGAGACTCCATCTCAAAACAAAAAATATGGTTAAGATAACAAACTGTTTTAAAACTGTATTAAAGGCAGTATGTTCAACATCATCTATCACTAGGAAAATTAAATGAAAATCAGTAGATACCCCTGAGAAACACACAAATTGGAGGAGACTGAGGACATATGGTCCATGGCAATATGAATCTTAAGATGATCAAAGCAAGCTAGTTTAGTTTATTCTATTCTATTATTTGTGTTATTTTATTGTATACTTTATTTTTTGAGAGAGTCTTACTTGCTATGGTGCCCATATTGGTCTTGAACTCCTGAACAAAAGTGATCCTAAGTGTTAGAACTGTACACACATGCCAGTACTCCCAACAAGACAGGTTAGTCTTTAAAAAAGGTTTCCAATTTCTCTTAATGACAAGTTACACTTACAAATGTCACCAACTATTAGAGTGAGAACATTTCACAACATTTTCATATTTTAGCCACAGTTGATCATTTGCAAAAAGAAGAGAGTATGACTACAAAATTTCAATATGGCTCTTTTTATTAACATTAAAACACTGTTGCTATAAAAACACTAGAAACTAATAAGAGAAAGTACATCAGATTGTTTTAATAATTTTCAATATAAAGAATAAAATATAATGAAATGCAGAGCTCACTTGATACTAATGACATATTGCAAAACATATATCTTCCTCTATAAGAAAGCAAAATGTGTAACTTGAGCCAGATGTTGAAATGCTTGGGATTTATCTAAGAGCAAATATTTCAGAAAATATGTAGAAGTATAACCACAGAATTGCTTTAGGGGGTTCTCTAGCTGAATATTTTTACATTGCACTTCACTTGGTTTTGCAAAATGAATTATGTTCTGATCTAACTATACATATACATATAAATAAGGATTCCACAGGAGAAGCAGTTCAGCATAGTAAAGAGTTTGAGTTTTAAAGTCAGATTTTTGGCTTTACCAATTACTGGCTGGTGGCTCTTGGGGAACTTGAAGTCTGAGCTTCAGGAGCTCATTTGAAAAAGGTGATGACAAGAGTTAAGTTATCTCATAGGAGGTATTGGTAGAATGAGCTAATACCTCTAAAGTGCTTTCCATAGCATCTGACACACACCAAGGACTCAGTGGAGAGTACGGAGTATTAATGTTGCTATTACTACTATTATGTTGCATTACTAACAAAATAACCACCCCTCAAATCCATACACACACCTCAAAAGGTCTACAAGGAAGGAAGTACAGGAGACTAGCAATAATCAGAGGCTGTGGCCTGAGACTAGAAGCCTGAATTTCTGAGGTGGTGTAGGTATATCCAAGCTTTGCATATAGGAATTTGGGGATAAAGTGGAGTAAAGGCAGAGGCCATTGTCTGGTGGACACAGTTGGTCATTCATACAATAGTAATTCTGTGTCCCAACTAGGACAGGAACTGAGGTGAAGAAGAATTAGTCACAGAAAGACCCTACTTACTGGCTGCGGAGTAACTGGGAAGACAGTGACGCAGTACCACTCTGCGCACTGCCACAATCCCCAATCCTCTTTGGCCGAGCTTTTGCTAGCTCAACTGTACCTCTACTCTAACCTACTTTTCCCTGCAAGTAATGAAATCAGAAAAAAGGCAAAGAAAATTCCTTCCCGGCAGCACCTCACAAACAAGCCCTGGGTGCTTAAAAAGTGCAATTGGTCAGGGATTACAGGAGGAGGGCAACACACTCCATGTCTCCTCACACCTCGTATTACAGGCAAACAGATAAGACTATGGGAAGAACCACGTGGATACTGACCTCACTGAAGTAGTGACACACTTCAAACAGTCCTCTGCAAACAGCAAATGTAAAACAAGACACCCAATAGATAAGCTACTCTCGCTATGCCCCCTCCTGTGTACTCACACAGTAATTCTCCCAGATGACTGACTAGCTCCTTTGGGTTTCTTAGCAAGGCCATATTTTAATTCAGACCTGAGCTATCCTACCCCTGCATCTGCAATCTGGCTTTCCTTTTTTTTTCTTTTTTTTTTTTTTTTGGTGCTGGGGATGTCCTCACACATGCCTAGCATGCACTCCATTACTGAGCTACACCCCCAGCCACATGGCTTTTCCTTTTTAATTCTGAAGTTTGATATGGCATGGCTCACCTATAACTCTAACATTTTAAGTACAGAAATATTTCTGCAGATTCAGGTTTCTAACTGATTTCTACTGACAGGAGAAAGATTCAAAGCATAGTCAATTCTAAGAACAGTTCGAAGATCAGAGACAGAGTCTCTTAAAAGATCCACCTTTTAAAAATGAAAAGGAATTAATTTTAAATTTAATTCCTGCAACTTTCCTCTTATACCATACTTTTTCAAAAATCTTTAAACACTGTATTAGCTTTGAAGAAGAAATAAAAAACACCTACCTTAGAAACTAGAGACTTAGCTAGCCCTAAATATATCACAGAAGAAGGGTACTTCAAATGAAGAGGACTGGTACAGAAGCCAGGCACGGTGGTGCGTTCCTGTAATTACAGCACTGGAGAGGCTAAGACAGGAGGATCACAAGTTTAAGACCATCCTCCAGTATGTAACAAGGAAGACAGAAAACTCAAAAGTTTTTTTTTTTTTTTTTTTGGTTTTTCGAGACAGGGTTTCTCTGTGTAGCTTTGCGCCTTTCCTAGAACTCACTTTGTAGACCAGGCTGGCCTTGAACTCACAGAGATCTGCCTGACTCTGCCTCCCGAGTGCTGGGATTAAAGGCGTGCGCCACCACCACCCGGCCTATACAAAGATTTTGAAAACAATCTGCCATCCAGAAAGCAAGTGAAATGGAGTCAAGGACTTCAATGAAAGAAAAGAAGAACAATGTAGGAAAATCAATGGGATGGTCAGACAATCTTTTCCTGGGACACAGAAACTAGACCATGAAATCAAGAAGCTATTTCGTCTTGATCTAAGTGCTGGCCTCCAGTCTGAACACAAAAAGATCCAGATTATTTGAACTGGTTGTCGATCAGGGTCCCCTTCATTTTTGCTTTCTTGGCTTCCAATTCAGCCTGGGAAGAAAAAAAGTATGCCCTGATACATCACAATCACATGAAATACTCAACATTTCTTCTTTATTCTAACTGTCCCACTCACCCTTAACTGCTCAGTGTACAAGCCAACAGTGGTTTTAGAATCCTTATCCATCAATTTCAAACTCTGGCTCATGAAAGCTACATAAAAAAGTGCATGTGTATGGGGGTTATGAACCTAGAAAGAGGCTCACGAAAGGGAAGGAGGGATAATGGACTACATGTGCTAAGAAAGCAGAAGGGGAAGCACAGTGTAGATCTGTAATCGAAGAACTGGGGAGCTAGAGGGAAGAGGATCAGGAGTTCAAAGCCAGCTTTGCATACATAGCAAGTTTGAGGTCAGCCTGGACTAATCCTTTCTTTAAAAAAAATAGAAAGAGAGAGAAAGAAGAAAATAAAAAAGCAGAGGAAGAGAGACTATGTGGAAGAAGTAAGGAGAGGAACCAGAGTGGGCAGGGAGCATGGGAAGGCAGTGAGGTAGGGAGTATGGGAAGGCTGTGAGGTAGGGAGTATGGGAAGGCTGTGAGGTAGGGAGTATGGGAAGACTGTGAAGTAGGGAGCATGGGAAGACTGTGAAGTAGGGAGCATGGGAAGGCTGTAAGGTAGGGAGTATGGGAAGGCTGTGAGGTAGGGAGTATGGGAAGACTGTGAGGTAGGGAGCATGGGAAGGCTGTAAGGTAGGGAGTATGGGAAGGCTGTGGGGTAGGGAGCATGGGAAGACTGTGAGGTAGGGAGCATGGGAAGGCTGTAAGGTAGGGAGTATGGGAAGGCTGTGGGGTAGGGAGTATGGGAAGGCTGTGAGGTAGGGAGTATGGGAAGACTGTGAAGTAGGGAGCATGGGAAGGCTGTAAGGTAGGGAGCATGGGAAGGCGGTGGGGTAGGGAGTATGGGAAGGCGGTGGGGTAGGGAGTATGGGAAGGCTGTGGGGAAGGGAGTATGGGAAGGCTGTGAGGTAGGGAGTATGGGAAGACTGTGAGGTAGGGAGCATGGGAAGACTGTGAGGTAGGGAGCATGGGAAGGCTGTGGGGTAGGGAGCATGGGAAGGCGGTGGGGTAGGGAGTATGGGAAGGCTGTGGGGTAGGGAGCATGGGAAGGCGGTGGGGTAGGGAGCATGGGAAGGCTGTGAGGTTGGGAGTATGGGAAGGCTGTGGGGTAGGGAGCATGGGAAGGCTGTGGGGTAGGGAGCATGGGAAGGCTGTGGGGTAGGGAGCATGGGAAGGCGGTGGGGTAGGGAAAGAATGAAAACAAAGATATGAGACATATTTATGATATGCCATAAAAAAAACTTACTACTTCGTATGCTAACCTAAAAAATGTTCTAGACGTTTTGATGAAGCATCAATGCAGTAATGTCTGAGAGTAATGAAATAAGCCAATACTGTTATCTTAATAACAAACACAAATTAAGAAAGTAGTAGTGAACAAGAGTGGGAGGGAGATAAAAGAGTGGGGTAAGAACAATCAGAATGAATAAGTACATAACACAATATTCATGAAATTATCAAACCACAGCTCCAGTTCGGGTATACTGAGGTAGCACAACTGTATGCCATTCCACCCTGGAGAGCACTCGAAAATCCGGCCCTTAACCCCTGACCACAGAGTACAAGCAGCAGATCCAAACATCCCCCAGTCAGGCCTGTCAAACAAGAGTTCTAATTTAGCAGTCAGAAGCCAGTCAGTATTGCAGAGTTGGGCTTACCCACAGTCGGGGCCTGGGTGAGAAAGCTGGCGGCCACTATACTAGTAACTCCCAAGAGCTTCTTAAAGGCTCCCCTGCCTCTGAAAATCTTATTCAAAGCAAGAAATTCAAGCCAGGGGGCCTGCACCCTTCCTCCCCAGGCCACTCACCAGCTCTTGCAGTCGCCTCTTGCTCATGCCTTTGCGCTCCAGCTGTTTTTCAATCACTTTGGCATTCTGTGCATAGGAGTCAGCAACTTCCCTCTACAGAACAGTGAAGGACCTTTACATCAACACACTTGGCAGGAATTACAACCAAGACCGCAGTAGTTACACTACTCAAGGCCAGAAACTGGACTCCACACAGCGGACTTCCCTACACTTTCAACTCTTTATATTCTCAATAACCCAGGAGAGTTCAGGTTTCCATGGTGATCATGTGAGAACACCCCTCCATAAAAACCACTTGGCTTGAAATACCAGAAAAGTAACTGCCGTTACTGCTAAGGACAGACTGAAAGCATCAGAGCCAGCCTGGAAGGGACTGAAAATCATTCAGTCGAGTATCTTATTTATTACTTGTTTGTTGTGGAGATAGAATCTTGCTATGCAGTACATGCAGATGCTGAATTGTCAGGTCTGAATCCACTTCAGTAGTTTTAAACTAAAAAGTGATGAGAGGATCCAAATTCCTTGTTCTCATTTGCTAGGTGTCCCTCCCATTCAGGGAAACAGGTACTCCCAATAGCAGAGTTTCTTACTAGCAGAGCGGGCTGTGAAAGCAGGCTTGCCAACTGTTCTGCTCTACAGAGGCTCTGGCCTGGAGCCCCTTACTCCTCCCTCCCGATCCCAATTCCCTGAAAGCAGAAGCACTTACAGCCTCTATCTCTTCTTCTTCTTCATCAATGGTAGACACAGTAACAGAGCTGAACTTGCCCATGTCTTTAGTCCGTTTGGTCATCATAACCTAGAATAGAGGAAGAGGCATCAAGCTAAGTTCACCCCACAAGGATCCATGAGCTGTGTATGCAAGCAGATTTGTGTGCATGTCAGTGTTTTCAAGCATTTGCTACTGAGCTTTTGGGTTGTCTGTTTCTGTTTTTTTCGGGACAGTTTCTCTGTGCAGCCCTGGCTGTCCTGGAACTCACTTTATAGACCAGGCTAGCCATGAACTCAGAGATTTGCCTGCCTCTGCCTTCCTCCCAAGTGCTGGGATTAAAGATGGGTGCCACCATCACCTGCCAAAAGATGGCTGGAGAGACAGCTGTGGGTTCAGGGAACCGAACTCTTACATTTTTGGTTGTGAGCCTATCCTTTAATGGCTGAACCATCTCTCCAGCCCACTATTGAGGGTTTTTTTTTAAGTATATTTAAAAATCAATCTAATTTATTGAGGATTTAATTGTTCCCACTCTAAAAAGAAAAAACTGAATAAAAGGAAAATAAAAATTATACCATTTCTAACCTTACAAGACTACTGTATATAAAGCAAATAATAAATGTCACAGTTCTATAATACCTGCATGTACACAACAATGGCATTTTCTTAATAAACATTTCATCTATAAGGAAAGTTTCTCAGGTATTATATCTTTATTTTAAAAATTAGGGGGTAATGCTATAGCTCAGTGGTGCTTGCCTAACATGTACAAGTCCTGGGTTTGATCCCCAGCACTAATCAAATTTGGGACTAAATGTGTAGCTATATTAAGTAGTCTGTGCCCTTTGATGATAATTACCTTCTTAGGAGGCTCCTGCTTCTGAGTATATATATTGGTTTTCCCAAAGCCTTGGCCAAATTTCACTACGGCTCCATCCACGATGAAGGTCACAGGAGCATTCTTGGGCTGGGACTGGTAGAAGAGCGGCAGTCCACACCTGCAAATGGCAGAGAGAATCTCTGGAAGGCCTCTAACTCTACACCCCCAAAGCATGGCTTGCAAAGTAGACTTGGTTTCTGGGAACAGTCTTGCTTGTGGCAGGAAATGTTTATCTTTTCCCTAATGAACTTGATAAGAATCAATTAGGGTACATGTTGAAATTTCTGATCAGGTTCCTAGGCCTCTCCCAGAAGATCCTAGTTTGGCAAATGTAGGGGTAAGTGAGGCCTGAGATTCTGCTATTTTAATTGGCATCCCACATGATTACTGACATTAGACAAAATTTGGGAAATGCTAGCCAACACTACTGTTGGCTTTGTAGTCAAAAACTGCTACCATTATTCCCAGGTGCCTGAGCACTGGTTCTGTCCACTTTGCTGTTTCATTTTACAGCATCAGAGAAAGTGGACAGAAGCCACTGCAGTGTTTGGCAAAATAAATCCTGTACAACTGCCACTTTCTCTGGCTGACCATTACGCTTTCTGAGCTAAGAAGTAGACCTACAAGATATGATAAAAAAAAAAAAAACAGCTTCATGAATCCAGTATGGCTAGGAACTCTAATATCTTCCTATCTTCTACTTACTTTCCTCTGCTTCAATGCTCCTACTCTGAGTCTCTTGAGAGCCAAAACACAATCGTCCTCACATAAAGATTGAACTTAACTGCCAAGTATAGTGGCTGGTCTTTCATCCCAGCACTCTGGAGGCAGAGGCAGGTGGATCTCCGTGAGTTCCAGGCCAGCCTGGTCTACATACTAAGTTCAAGGACAGCCAGGACTACATAGACAGATCCTGTCTTAAAACAACAATAACAAAAATTGAACTTTCTAATATTCTTACTATTAATAGTCTAAAGCTGGAAGTTTTGCTTTAAACAACATCCTTTAAGATTCCTAGCTTTATAGTCTACATAATACATTTCATACATAAGCCTGGAACTAAATTATATTGTGTCACATTTTCCATTATGACTCAGCCAATTCTACTCCAAAAGAAAATATATGTTCGCAATAAACTCTATCTAGAATACTCAGAGCAACGTTCCTGGTAATAGCCTACACTGGAAGCAACTGAAACTCATTGTGAATGGGTGTACAAACTGATACAATGGGATGCTCAAAAATAAAGAGCACTGTGAATGAGGAAATGAACTAACAGGATGGGATACTCAGCAAAAAAGAGAAACAAATGATTGATACACATAACAACTTGGATGAATCCCTAAAACATCAAATTGAGAAAAACTAGGGATGGGGCCAGTGAGATGGCTGAGTGGGTAAAGGAGCCTGTTCCCAAGGCTGAAAACCTGAGTTTGATCCCCCCAAGACCCACATGGAAGGTGAGAATCTTCTCCAAGTTGTCCTTTGATTCCTATATGTATGCCATGTACATGTGTAGGAGAGAGAGAGACCGAGAGAGAGAGCGAGAGAGAGAGAGAGACAGAGACAGAGACAGACAGAGACAGAGAGACAGAGAGAGAAACAGAGAGAGACAGACAGAGAGACAGAGAGAGAAGAGAGGGAGAGAATGAAGGAGGGAGGGAGAGAGGGAGGGCGGGAGGGCAGGTGGGCAGAGAAGGGGAGAGGGAAGCGGGGAAGAGAGAGAAAGCTAGACCAGCTATAGAAGACATGTACTTGTATGTAGTGGAAAACACTACAGAATTTCCCCGAACTGTTAGGAAAGGTGAAAGCACAGTGACCCAGAGTAGCCACTACCAGGGAGGAGGATGAAGAAAGAAAGGAGCCTGGCCGCAAAGGACATGGGGACTGCTGCAAATGCTTTCTATCTTGATGCTGGTGGCATTACTTCACTGTATTTTTCTCTCAAAATTCATTGACTTGAATATTTAAATGGTAAATTTTATTGCAGACATATTACATCTCGATCTTTCAAATTATATTATGTTAAAAACTCACGTTTTTGCTTGGTGCATGGTGCATGCCTATAATCCCGGGACTCGGGAGGCTAGGGCAAAGGATCAAAAGCTCAAGGCTGGCCTGAACTACACACCAAGACCCTGCCTCAAAAGAAAAAAAATGGCCCCATTTTCCTTACTTTTGTAATCAGCTGGTCAGGGATGGAATTTAACTAGAGTCTTTGGAAAGCATATTAGCATTTGGTTTGAAGGCCTTTGAGATTACTGAGTCCAAAGAGAGACTATTTTCCTAACACATTATGCTTTTACTTACCTATGCTCAGAAAAACCCATACTGTTGGTACTTACTTTGCACACTTCTTTCTGTACTGACGTTCAATGCCCTCAGGCCTTCACAGAAAATGGAAGTAAAAATTGAAAAGTTAAGAGCAAATCTCATAACCGATTAACCTCCTAGCTCATTTTTCCCATTGTTCATCACTTATCATAATTGATGCTAAAAGTTCAGAAGTTCTTCATTTCATAGCTCTACTGGCTAGTTAAGCATGTATTAAGTTTATAACTCCAGCATGCATTCCTTCTTTCACAAGCATGTACTGAGCAACTAACAGGGTTGTGAGCAATTAGTAATAATGCTAGCTAAGCAGAGAAAAGGGCAGTAATATTAATAGTCAAAACAGTGATTGGACTTGTAGTATCAACAATAATAACCACAATAATATAGCAGCAGCTAATTATATAGTCAGCCCTTTGTATCCATGGTTTCTGAATCTGTGGAGTTCACCAACCATGGATAGAACATGTTAGACAAAAGTTGTGTCAGGGGCTGGGGAGCTAACTCAATGAGTAAGACTGCTTGATCAGCCAGAACAAGGACCCAAGTTAGAACCCCCAGCATCCACATAAAAAGCCAGGCATGGCTATGTATGACTGTAACTTCAGGATTAGGAAGTCAGGATACTCAAATCCTGAGAGGTCACTAGCCAGCCAGCCTAGTTGAATAGCAAAGCTCTGGTTCAGTGAGAGACCCCGTCTCAAGGGAATAAAAATGGAGAGTGACAGAGGAAGACACCCTAGCATGCAGCTCTAGACTCTGCATCGGCACATACACCCATACACCCATGCACCCATGTACATGTGAAACACACACACACCACAAAGTTGTATTAGTACTGAAAATGCACATATTTTCTTGTCATTATCCCCTAAGCAATGCACTATTAATTATCTCATAGTGTTTCAGTGGCTTGGGTATTATAAATAATCTGGGCCTGGTGTTAGTCAAACCCCACTCCCAGTGACACACCTCCTCCAGCCTCCTAATCCTTCCCAACAGTCCACCAACTGGGAACCAAGCATTCAAATATATAAGCCTATGGGAGGTGAATCTCATTCAAACCACCACACTGCCAAATTCTTCTCTGTAGAACTTGCACCAGTTTATACTAGCAGCAATGTATTGAGAGTTCTGTTTCTCTACCGCCTCACTGTTAGTGCATGCTAGTTAACTGCATCCCAGCCAATTTCACATGTGAAAAATTAGATCTTCAAGGGTGCCACAGCATGTACCTATAATCATGGCTACTCAGGAGGCTGGGAAAGGAGGATCACAGTTTGAGAACCAACTGGGTAACATAGCAAGACTCAACTCCAAAACAAAGGGAAAAGAAAATAAGATCTGCCAATTTGTATTTCCTTTTTTTAAAATGGAAGCTATATATCTCAGCACCAATATGACAGCCATTTGTGTCGCAAATTTCTTTTTTGCTGCCTTGTGAACTGTTAGCTCCTATCTTTTGAGTCACCAATTTCTTTTACATTAAGGAGACTTGCACTATTAATGGGCCTTGCAAATGTTTCTTGCTCAGTTTGTCATTTGTCTTTGATATGCTTTTGTTTTACAACACGTGCAAATTTTAGACTTTTCTGTAGTCACTACATTTCTCTAGTCATAACTTCTCTCTCTCTTGCTCTCTGCCCATGCATGTCATAACATAGACAGGACTTCCTCAACATGAACTTCTATCTGAAATAAAAAAATTCCAACCACTTATTCTAGAATCTGCCCCCACTAGTTTCTTCCTCCAAATCACTCTCTAAACAGAGGCAGAAGTGGCTTCCCTGGTACCACCTAAGAACATAACTACTGGTTTCTGCAGCATCTTATATAGTCTCCCTCTTCCATACACACATTCCACTTCCACGGCCAAATCAGTCCTCCTTCTGTTTCAGCTCTTTAAAATGAACATGTGCTTTCCAACAGCTGACCGTTTACACACACATGCTTCTCCCTCTACAAACCATGCTCTGCTCATCACATTGCTAAGGCAGTCCTTTGTCTACGCTGATGCCACTTCATAAGTAACCTAGTCAGAGGTTATTCCCGGAACACATTCACTAAGAAGTTCTCGTGTGATTTTCTCTACCAACCCTTTGTTTCATTCATATGGCTTTTAATAATCATAATTACTTGATTTTTCTACTTATTAATTTTCCATGATTTCCATCATCCATTCCCTGAGATCAGACAGACTCTGAGCAAAGCACTACATAAAGGGGTTGGAGAGAGGGCTCAGCAGTTAAGAGCACTGGTTGCTCTTCCAAAGGGCCTCAATTTAATTCCCAGCACCCATATGGTGGTCCACAACTGTCTGTAACTCCAGCTTCAGATATCCAATGCCTTCTTCTCACCTCTGCAGGCTCCATGTACACATGTGGTAAACAAACATACATTCAAGCAAAATACTATACACATAAAATTAAAAGGACTGGACACTGAGAAGATGTACAATATACAGTGAATAAATTCATCTTCGTAAGGAAACTAAACTGATAATCAAGGAAGGTTTTTCTGAGATAAGATCTTACTGAAGACCCCCAGGATGATCTAGAGTTTAGCTATGTAGGCCAGGCTGGCCTTAAACTCAAAGCAATCTTCCTGCTTCAGACTCTCACATGCTAGGATAACAGTTGTAAGCTACCACATCTGGCTAACGAAGTGTTTTTTTTTTTTTTTTTGAGACAGGGTCTCTCTGTCCTGGATCTCCCTCTGTAGACCAGGCTGGCCTCGAACTCACAGAGATCCGCCTGGCTCTGCCTCCCGAGTGCTGGGATTAAAGGTGTGCGCCACCACTGTCTGGCTGAAGTTAAGTTCTTTTTTTTTCTTTTTTTTTTTTAAGATTTATTTATTTATTATGTACACAGAAGAGGGCACCAGATCTCATTACAGATGGTTGTGAGCCACCATGTGGGTGCTGGGAATTGAACTCAGGAACTCTGGAAGAGCAGTCAGTGCTCTTAACCTCTGAGCCATCTCTCCAGCCCCTCTTTTTTTTTTCTAAAGAATATTTTTTAAACTTTTTATATGCATTGGTGTGAAGGTGTCAGATCCCCTGGAACTGGAATTACAGACAGTTGTGAGCTGCCACGTGGGTTCTGGGAATTGAACTCAGGCCCTCTGGAAGAGCAGCCAGTGTTCTTGACCACTGGGCCATCTCTCCAGCCCCTGAAGTTAAGTTCTTAAGTGGAGGAAGTTGTAATGGCAGCACAAGTGGTGGCACCACACTCTGTCTAGAGAGAGTCACAGAAACTTCATGACAAGGTGACAGAAAATAGGATTTCATGTAAATGAAATACTCCATGTATACATAGTATATTCATGGAACTGCTATATACAAAGAATTATTGCCTAATACCATTAGGACTTAAAACTCAAGGATTCCCTACCAATATTATACACATAAAAACACTCAGCTGGGCGGTGGTGGTGCACGCCTTTAATCCCAGCACTTGGGAGGCAGAGCCAGGCGGATCTCTGTGAGTTCGAGGCCAGCCTGGACTACCAAGTGAGTTCCAGGAAAGGCGCAAAGCTACACAGAGAAACCCTGTCTCGAAAAAAACAAACAAACAAACAAACAAAAAAAACACTGCCAGAGCGGGGAGGTGGTGGTGCACACCTTTAATCCTAGCACTCGGGAGGCAGAGCCAGGTGAATCTTGGTGAGTTCAAAGCTAGCCTGGTCTACAAAGCGAGTTCCAAGACAGCCAGGACTGTTACACAGAGAAACTCCATCTCAATCAATCAATCAATCACTGCCAGGCTATTCTGTGAACAACTGTATACCAATAAGTCAGATAACCTAGAAGTCCTAGAATGAAAAAGAATAACATAGATGGGTATGGCGGCACTTGCCTGGAAACCCAGCACTGGGGAGGCTGAAGCAGGAGGATTGAGTTGAAGGCTGGCTTAGGCTGCATAGTGAGAATCTGTGTCAGAAAACAAAAGAGAAAAAAATACCACAAATTGCCCAAACTCACTCAAGAAGTAGACGGGAAAGATGGGCCATGGGCTGTGTGCTCAGCAGTAACTGGTGAAAAAGAGGAACACTAAGAAAAGACTAGAATTCTGCCTTGGCCAGCAGCAAAGCACAGAGTAAGCCCTTGGAAATGCTGCACATGACTAGAACATGAACTATGTCAAGGGGGAGTGTACTTGCTTGTTGGTAAGCTCTAGGAATTCCGAACCCTAACAATGATGTGGCTACAAGTCCCTGGCCTAGGCCCTGCCATTAAAGAAGGCACTATTTGCCACTAAATAAGGCTAGTCCTAAGGCTGATTCATCCTAAAGGTAAGGCTGATTGGATTTCAGAGTTTCTACTTCAGTATAGGGTCACCCAGTAATTTTCTTGACTAGCTTTATGATGTCATAGATGACTGCAGCCTAGTATTAAATTGCTGTGGTGGTTTGAAAAAAAATGGCCCCTATAGGGAATAGCACTATTAGGAGGTGTGGCTTTGTTGGAGTAGGTGTGGCCTTGTTGGAGGAAGTGTGTCACTGAGGGGGTGGGCTTTGAGGTATCCTATGCTCAAGCTACTCCTAGTGAGACAGTCTACTTCCTATTGCCTGCAAATCAGCATGTAGCAGTCCTTCTCCAGCACCATGTCTGCCTGCATGCTGCCATGCTCCCCACCATGATGACAATGTACTGAACCTCTGAAACTGTAAGCTGCCACCTCAATTAAATGTTTTCCTTTATAAGAGTTGCCGCGGTCATGGTGTCTCTTCACAGTAAGAGAAACCCTAACTAAGGCAACTGTTTTCTGTACTAACCGAATAATACATATTAATATATAATACTATTATATACATAACTTTCTACAAATATTATATGTAATTATTACAGTGATCCTAAAGATAGTCGATAATTTTCAAAACCAGTAATCTAAATAATAGGGGAAGATATAACAAAGGACAAAGTGACCCATGTAATCTGAGCACTTTGGAGGTACAAGCAGGAGGATCAGGAATTAAGGTCATTTTCCACTAAGTACCCCATTCAAAGCTTGTGGTACAAGAGAGACTGTCAAAACAAAGAAAAATAAACAAAAGGTTAAAATAAGAGAAGAGAGGTTAGAGCACTGGTTGCTCCTCCAGAGGTTAGGGTTCTATTCCCAGCACCCACATGGCAGCTCACAACCATCTGTAACTCCAGTTCCAAGGGATTCCTGTTCTGGCCTCTATGTACACCAGGCACACAAATGATACACAAACAGGCAAAACACTCACATACAGAAAATAAAACTTCTAAAAATGAGAAGACACAGAAAAAACACACATGATACAGGCAGATAATGGAGTGATGCATTGATAAGCCAAGGAACACTAAGGATTCTTGGGGGAAAAAATCCAGAAGAGAGTGAGAGATGGCTCAGAGAGTAAGGCATTTGCCACCAAACTTGATGACCCAAGTTCTATCCCTGGGACCCATGTGGTAGAAGAAGAAAACTATCAGAAGCTATGCTCGAACCTCCACAGGCAGGCCATGGCAGCTCCACCCATGCCCCACCCTCTACCCCACAAAAATAATGTAAAAAATAAAAAAATTAAAAGAAACAAACAAAAAATGCCAGGCCTGGTAGCACATAGTTTTAATCCCAGAACTTGGGAACCAAGAGCAGACAGATCTCTATGAGTGCCAGGCCAGCCTGTTTTACATAGTGAGCTCCAGGCCAGCCTAGTCTACAGAGTAAGACCCCCATCTCTCTCTCTGTTACACACACACACACACACACACACACACACACACACACACACACACACACACACACACAGATGATAGGTGGGAAGGGATAAGTCAGCAAGAGCATAGCTCTGCTGACAACTTTCAAACTTCAGCCTCCAAATCTGAACCGTGCTGTTGTTTGTTTTCACTCTTTGGGCTCTTTTGGGGCCCGCCACCCAGCTCCCAAATAAACACACACACAGAGACGTATTACTTATAAATGCCCGGCCTTAGCTTGGGTTGTTTCTAACCAGCTTTTCTTAAATTATCCCATCTACCTTTTGCCTCTGGGCTTTTTCCTTTCTCTATTTCTGTATATCTTACTTTCAATCTTACTCCATGGCTGGCTGGGTGGCTAGCTGGGTGGCTGGCTGGGTGGCTGGCTGGGTGGCTGGCTGGGTGGCTGGCTGGGTGGCTGGCTGGGTGGCTGGCTGGGTGGCTGGCTCCTGATGTCCTCCTCCCTGATCCCTCTTGCTCTTCCTTCTTTCTCCTCCCAGATTTCTCCTCCTATTTATTTATTCTCTGCCTGCCACCCCTGCCTATCCTTTCTCCTGCCTCACTATTGGCCGCTCACCTCTTTATTAGACCATCAGATGTTTTAGACAGGCATGTAACACAGCTTCACAGTTAAACAAATGCAACATAAAAGAATGCATCACATCTGTGCATCATTAAACAAATGTTCACAGCATAAACAAATGTAACACATCTTAAAATAATACTGTACAATGTTACCTATTAATTTTTGTTGCTTAAAGCTACCCAGGTTGTGGTATATTTCTATAGCAGCTTTAGCACGCTAATATACCAGTGGATTCCAAGTGTCAAGTGCCCAACATACATCAGGAGCTCAGAAAATGAAATATTTGCTGAATAAATGAGTGGACTTTAGAATAAATGAGTGGATCTCCTGTGGTATTGGGTGCGTGGAGGTGACCACTCTTACCTTTTATACACACCTTGGAATTCTTTCCTTTTTAAAAATGTGTATGCATATTAGTGCTTTACCTGCATGCATATCTGAAGAAGAGGGCATCAGATCCTCTGGAACTGGAGTTACAGATGGTTGTGGAAATTGAACCTGGGTCCTCTGGAAGAGCAGCCAGTGCTCTTATTGCAGAGACATCACTCCAGACCCTCTTTCCTTTCTTAAAACTCTGCATTATTAGGTTCTCCTGGTTCTGTCCAATTCTTTGTAAATCTCAGTCTTCTTTCTTTCTCTCCCATCTGCTTTCTCTTGTATGTATGTATGTATGTATGTATGTATGTATGTATGTATGTATGTATGTAAAGGGTCTCGTGTAAGCCTAGGCTGTACATAGCTGAGGATGACCTTGAACTTCTAATCCTCCTGCCCCTGCCTCCTAGAGCTGAGATTACAAGTGAGCACTACTATCACTGTTATGTGCAGTACCAAGGACTGCAAGCACTCTACCAACTGAGTTATAAGCCTTATGCCTTGCTCCACACATTCAATGTAATTTTATCCTCCCCCATTTTTATTTATTTATTTATTTGTTTGTTTGTTTTTCAAGACAGGGTTTCTCTGTGTAGCTTTGCACCTTTCCTGGAACTCACTCTGTAATCCTGGCTGGCCTCGAACTCACGGAGATCCGACTGCCTCTGCCTCCCGAATGCTGGGATTAAAGGCGTGCACCACCACCGCCCAGCTGTGACCTCCCCCATTTTTAAGTACCCATATACACCAAGGATTCCTCAATTTAAAAACACACATATCTAACTATGTAACTCCCTCCTTACAAAATGGAACTAAGGGGGCTAGAGAGATGGCTCAGTGATTAAGAGTATGATGCTCTTGCAGAAGACTCAAGTTTGGTTCCCAAGGCCAACATTAGGTGGCTGACAACCACCTGCAACTCCAGCTCCAGGGGATCAAACGTCTTCTCCCCAACCTCTACCGGCACCTGCACTCACATGCACATACCAACTCACTCTCACTCTCTCTCTCTCTCTCTCTCTCTCTCTCTCTCTCTCTCTCTCTCTCTCTCTCTCTCAAAAATAAAAATAAACCTTTAAAAATGGAAATAAGGCTGAGGAGACAGATCACAGTCTGTAAAGCACCTGCCTTGCAAGCAAACAGGAGGATCTGAGTTTGATTCCCTGGAACCTAACTAAATGCTAGGAATGGTGGTGCCCTTGTAATGTTTCTTACTTCAGAAGTAAGAGTCAGGCAGTTGTATGGGGCTCACTGGCAAGCCAACCTAGACTACTTAGCAAGTTCTAGGCTGGTAAGAGAGAGACTTTCTTTAAAAAAAAAAAAGTGGAAGGCACTCAAGGTTATCCTCTGGCCTCCACAAGTGCACGCGTGTACACACACACACACACACACACACACACACACACACACGTGCAACACCCAACACATACACAAACACAAATACAAAGAAATAGCTTTTTACTGTCTTCAAATAAAGCATTTCACTGTCCTCACCACAGTATGCACGAAGCTTTTTCTGCAAAACAGTAACCCATGCTCTGGCTACAAAAGGCTATTGCAATTTCCCAAGCACATCATGTTTGATGCTCTTAATGCTCCCAGAGTCCTTCTACCTGGACTGTTCCTCATCGTCCTCCAAGAACTGGCAAATTCCTAGTTCAAGCCAAGCAAAGATTCCACTTCTTTCAGAGCCTTTCCTGACCACAACACAGGCACCTGTTTTCCTATAGCCTTTGTTCACAGCACCAGCATTTCTTTCCATCACAATTAAGTCAGTTTCCTCACTGACTTCTTTAATAAAAACTGTGCCTTATTCATTCACAGATTTGGTACCTAGCTCAGTACCTGGCACATGGCATGCATAAGATTACAGACTGGGGATGTAACTCTGGGAGAGTGCTCACCCAGCAAGACCAAGGCCCTTGGTTCTTTCCCCAGCCCTGCAAATAATACCAATAACAACATCAAAAGTTGCAGGTTGTACGAACTTATTCCAACCTGTAACTGAACCATCACAGCTATCAAATGCCAAGAGAAACCATTTCTCAAAGTACCATTTCAAAAAAGTACAATAAAGAATTTGCTGCATTAACGTAAGTTAGAATACTAGCAAAGTATCAGGCCTAACTATGTGAGCTGCTCAACCACTACACAGAATAATTTACATTCTTCAGAAACAGACCTCAACACAGCAGGGAACTAAACAGAGCATCAAGCCCTTACCTCCGAAGATAGGTAGTCTCCTCATCTTCTGTGTTACAAAACTTATGAGCATGTTTGGCAGCATCAATCACGCGAGACCGGTCCCGAGGCCTCATAGGCAATTTCTCTAACTGACAATCTGAAGGAATGAAGAAAGATTTCGTCGCTTAGAATCACTGAAAAATATCCTGAGCCTAGAGTGATGGTGCACGCTTGTGATGCAGGAGGATCACCGGCAAGTTCGAGGCTAGTCTAAGCTACATCATGAATTCAAGTTCACCCTGAGCAACTTAATGAGATCTTGTCTCAAAAAAAAAAAAAAAGCCCGGCATCTGGCTGCAGCCGCCGTTTTCGGCCACTCACCCAGCACCAGGACCATCTGGCCGCACAAACAGTAGTAGACATGGAGGGGCTTCTCGCCGTCATCATATTCCTCGCGGTCCCGGGTGTCGGAGCAAACCACCGACCGGGACACGACTTTCGGCATAGCTAAGGCAGAGCAGTCAGAAAAGTCCAAGGAAATGAAGAGTCGCGCCGAGATGGCGTCACAGACGCACGTGCAGGACCGGCTCTCCACCCTGGTCACGTGTTGGTACCGGCCTGATTAACTTCCGGAACGTCCCATCTCGCTACGACGCGGGGGGAGGCGGGGTAGAGTGCTGCGTTGACAGACGCTCCTCTGGCTAGGCAGTTAGCTGGGACAGCTTTACTTGTTGACACCCTCAGTATTATTTAAATTTTTTATTTCTATACAGTCATCAATATTTATTTTTTTTATTTATTAGTGCGCTAGTGTGTGTGTGTGTGTGTGTGTGTGTGTGTGTGTGTGTGTGTGTGTGTGTGTGTGTGTGTGTGTGTTGAGGTCAGAGGACAACTTTCTGGATTCTATTCTTCTTTCCACTTTGTGGATCTCAAAAGATGCAACTCAGGTCCTCAGGTTTAGCGGCAAACACTTTTAACTACTGAGCCATCTCTCTGGTTCATAAATATTCATGAATTTATGTAAAACCCAACATAATAAAGGACTATACATTATACATACATATATACATATATATATATATATATATCGCCTAGATTTTAGATGTACTTGTAAATATTTTATTGGCAGTATTCAGTACCTAATAAATGAGTAATAATAAAGTAGAAACTTGGGGCTAGAGAGATGGCTCAGAGGTTAAGAGCACTGGCTGCTCTTCCAGAGGTCCTGAGTTCAATTCTCAGCAATCACATGATGGCTGACAACCATCTGCAATGAGATCTGGTCCCCTCTTCTGGCATTCAGGCAAACATGCAGGCAGAACACTGTATACATAATAAATAAATAAATCTTTAAAAAATAAAGTAGACACTTTTTGTTTTTGCTGTAGTGGGGATTAAATATAGGATGTCGTACATACTACACAAGCATTCTATCACTGAGCTATCCTTCAGCTATCCTATTTCTTCAATTTAGTCTTTTTTTTAATTTATATATTTTTATTTTATGTGTACCAGTGTTTTGCCTGCATATATGTCTATGCACCCTGTTCGTGCCTGGTATCCACAGAGGCTTTGGATCTTCTGGAGCTGGCATTACAGAAGGTTGTGAGTTGCCATGTGGGTCCAACAGAACCAGAGTCCTCTGGAAGAGCAGCTAGCGCTCTTAAACTGCTCAGCTATCTCTCCACCTCTTTCTTTCTTTCTTTCTTTCTTTCTTTCTTTCTTTCTTTCTTTCTTTCTTTCTTTCTTTCTTTCTTTCTTCCTCCCTTCCTTCCTTCTTCCCTCCCTCCTCCCTTCCCTCCATCTCTCTCTTCCTCCCTCCATCCTTCCCTCCGTCCCTTCCTTTCTTTCTCTTTCCTTCCTTCCTTCCTTCCTTTCTTTTTCTTTCTAATGCAGGGTTTCATTATATAGTACAGGGTGGCCTTGAATTCATAATCCCCTTCTCTCTGTCTCCTGTGTACTGAGACTGCAAGCCTGTATCACTGTGACCAGATGAAACTTCTTTATTAAAAAAGATGCAATTTAAATTCATTTTAAATAAAGATACAATTCAACTTGGGCACTGAGGAAGCCCAGTGGATAAAAGTGCTTGCCACCAAGCCTGATGGCCTAATTTTCACCTCCAACACCCACATGATGGAAGGCAAGAACAATCTCTCTCAAGTTGTCATTTGACTTGTGGTGTGTGCGCATGTGAGAGAGAATAAATAAATAGTTTAAAAGACAAAATTCAAATAATATATAATTCATTTTTTGAAAGTGTATTAACAGGCAGGCATGGTTGCAGGTCTTCAACCCCAATACTCAAAAGGTAAAGGCAGGTGGACCTTGCCGAGTTTCAGGCCAACCAAGTCTCCACAGTGAAGCCCTGTCTCAGAAAAAAAAAATCAATTTGGTAAGTTTAGTCAAAGTTGTGGAACCTATACCATTGTCTAATTCCAGAACATATTTATCATTTTTTTTTTTTTTAGGTTTTCCGAGAGAGGGTTTCTCTGTGTAGCTTTGCGCCTTTCCTGGACCTCGCTCTGTAGGCCAGGCTAGCCTCGAACTCACAAAGATCCGCCTGCCTCTGCCTCCCGAGTGCTAGGATTAAAGGCGTGCGCCACCACCGCCCGGTTTTATTTATCATTTCAAAAGGAAATCTCATACTTATTATTAGACATTGCCTGCCTCCTTTCCATATTGTAGAAGGTGATTCCTTTTCATGGTTGAATAGTATTTGATTGTACAGATATACTATTTGTTGTTTATCTGAGCATTACTGGTTGTCATTTGCCTTGTTTTCACTTTTGGGCTATTATAGATAATGCTGCAATAGACATTTACATACAAGTTACAATGGTCATGTGTATACAGGTCATAATCAGGATGGCCATTTTCAATTCTTTTGGTTATATATCTAGTAGCAAAATGGCTAGATCAGGTGCAAGTCTGTATTTAATCTTTTGAGAACCTACCAGAGTTTTTCAAGGCAGTACACAATTTTACATTCCTATCAGTAGTGTTCAAGGATTCTTATTTCTCTCCAATCTTGCCAATAATTATTATTTTCTGTCATTTAGTTTGATTATTTATTTATGTGTATGTGTGTATGTGCACATGCGTGTGGATGCCTGTGGAAGCCAGAAGGGTGCCTCAGATGCCCTGCTCTGCAGCTGGAGTTACCAGCAGTTGTGCACTGCCTGATTCGGATGTTGGGGATCAAACTGGGGCCCTTGGCAAGAGCAATAAGTGCTCTTTACAGCTTAGCTGTCTGTCTAGCCCCCATTGTCAGACTTCTATATTATAGCCATCCTGGTGGGTATGAAATGGTGTTTCATTGTGGTTTTGATTTGTATTTTCCTGATAACTAATGATGTTGAGCATTTTTTTCATATGCCTATCGGTCACTTATATATCTTCTTTGGATGAATGTCAGCTCACATACTTTGCCCACTTTTAATTAGTCAATTTATTATTGACTTGTAAGAGTTCTGGCAGTGCTGGAGATCGAACCCAGGTCCTCATGAATTTGGTGCAAGGATTCTATCATTGAGCCCAGAGTTCTTAATATGTTTTGGATACTAAGCCTTAATCATGTAAATGATTTGTGATTAGAGGAATCTTGCTGGTCTTGTTTGTCCTATGTGTGAGGGGCCAATTTTCATCCTCCCTTCTCCAACCCAGAAAGTCTCCCAACATTCTCTTTCTGGAGGATAGACGCCTGGGGAAACTTAGAATAAACACATCAAGTCAATTCACATTGAGTAACTTCACTAATCCAAGTATCAGCACTGAAATGTTTTGTTTTAAGGAGAGACTTCACTGAAGACTGCAGGAGTTTGTGACTAGAGGAACACATGATATATACCAACTGGAATTTAAAAAACAGTTTACCAGCCCTTCAGTGAAGATGTATTATAAAATATAAGACTCTTCTTTTTACAAGCTTATTGCTGTGTGTGTGTGTGTGTGTGTGTGTGTGTGTGTGTGTGTGTGTGTGTGTGTGTGTAAAGAGATGGGTAAGTGGTTAAGAGCACAGGCTGCTCTTCCAGATAACCTGGGTTTGATTCCTAGAACCCACATGGTAGCTCATAACCATCAGTAACTCCAGTCCTAGGAGATTCAAAACCCTCTCTGGCTTCCAAGGGCACTAGGCACACTCATGGTGCACAGGTATAAATGCAGGCAAAACACCAATGCACATTACAAAATTATTTTAACTTTATTAACATACATTAATTATGCCTAATTATAGATTTCATTGTGACATTTTCATACACGTACTTAATGTGTTTTGGTTGTATTCACCCTCATTACTCTATTTTGTCCCTCTCCCACTTCCACTGGTCCGCTCCCTATTCCCAGAGTTACTTACAGGAGTGTACATGAGAGGTTATTTACAAGAGTATGAGCAACTCACCAGTGGCTACACCACTGAAGAAAAGGTCTCTCTTTCAGCAACCACGAACTGCTGACGTCTCCTCAAGAAAGGGTGAGGTCTCATGAGTCCCTTCTCCCTCCAGGACAGGATGGTGAGGTGTCCAATCTTGTGCAAGTAATCACAGCTGCCAGGAGTTCAAAAGAATGCTAAATCATGCCCAGAAAATAGCATGCCAATCACCCCCAACCCTTCCTTCAACTCTTATATTCTTACCCTCTCTTTTAAGATGTTTCCTTGGCTCTGAAGTGGGTGTTTTAGATGTTCCATTTGGGACTGAGCTGCCAACATTAAGACTCTTACCTTCAGCATTTTGATCATGTATGAGTCTCTGCAGTAATCACTTCCCACTGCAAAAAGAAGCTTCTCCGAACAAAGTTGACAGAAGCTTTACTCTATGGGCAGAAATATAAATATGCAGAATGCAATTAGACAGGTGCCTTGGATCTATGACCGCTCCACTCTCCAATTTTAAAATTTAAAAAAAATATTTATTTTAGTGTATGGTATGTACGGTGTGTGTGTGTGCATACGTGTGTGTTTTTCCAGGTAGGTCCCAGGAATATAACTCAGGCTGCAGGCTCCCTGTCTAGCTCCTCTGGTTCAGCCTCCCCAGTGCTGGAAATACAGGCAAGCACCACAGACAAATCAAGACAATTCTTCCTGTTTTGTTGGGTTGCTAGGAATTGAATCTGGGGCTTTGTGCATGTTAGGAAAGTACTCTCCTACTACGTTACATACCTAGCCCCAAGTATAAGAGAAATATTAATGAAAGTCTTAGAGAATCGTAATCCTTTACATTTTTGTTTGTGAGCCCAGCCTTTAACGGCTGAGCCATCTCTCCAGCCCGAGAATCACAGTATTTGATCCTTAGATCTTAGACCAATATTATTCCTTTCATTCCATACTATTCAATACTTGTTGAGCATCTGTTCAGTGTTAGGAACTGTGCTATAGTAATCAATTACAAGTGCTCTCACTCCTCATGTGGCTTAGTCTAGTGCTGGAGCTAGCAAACGTATTCTATAAAAAAAATTAGGGAATGAATCCCTTAGGGTTGGGGGGGCAAGAAGCAAAATCAAGAACATAGCCTAGGAATTTATCTAAGAGAAAATTGATTTATGTAAGCACTTTATTGAAAAATTTCAAAATATAACACTATTCCTTTAATATACAGATTTAATAATACAAGTCTACTAACTAGAAAGATGGCATACTTTTATAAAAAGAATAATATTTCTCATAATTAGGTTTCAAAGTGAGTATTTCTGATCAGTAAATTCAGCTGCAGAT